ACCTCGGAGCCCGTGAAAATTGTGTATTGCACATATGAAGTCGTTGTAGGTTCAGATTGAGACATTAATGGATCGATGGAACATGAGTTATATTGAAAAATAAAAAAACATAGGGATATGCATATATTGAGGGATATAGTTTCTATTTGAAGTAAGATTGAGCACACAAGTATATAAAATAATTCACAAATGGTCACTATTTTGTTCGATGTATTTTTATGCTGATTACAGTCCTACTCTCATACAGCAAGAATTCACTTTTTCAAACTACTCGGTATATATCTTGTGTATGTATTCGTGTTCTTTTTTTTCTATTTGCACCGACACTCGTATTGTTTCAATAGCTCAGTTGTGTAGAGTGAACACTTTATTAAAATATCCCCACCATAATACGTCGTCTTCCTGTCGTTTATGGAGTACAGTGTACACGTTAGAAGTTAGGCGAAGATAAAAACGTGGGTGGCGGGGGGTAGTTGGATGGCCTTGTAAGGCGAGTGTCTTGTGCTTCGGTCCCGCCACGTAGTTTTTCTTGAGGCAGGCGTTATTTTTGCCCAGGGTTGTTTTCGCCTCAAGTAGCTGAGACTGAAATATACATGCACACAAATCCAGTAACTACCGCTAATAATAATGTGTCGCCTGGAGCATTCTAAGTGTGATACCCATAAATGGACTTGCACGCTCCCTTTGTTCGTTTCTAACTGTATATTGTGTTTATAATGTGTAGTTTCCCCGAGTTACAAAAACAACGAAATAATTTATTTGCTTGAGTGGAAACATTGCATTTACAAGGACTTCATATAGTATGTATTATCACAATAATGTAGTGTGGACGTGACCTTTGTGAATGTGAATAACATATTTTCTACGTTGCAAATGTTTATTAGCATTAGGTGTTGTGGATGCATATATCCGTACATATCGTTACATGTAATGTACATCCGTTTTGCTATATTACTCATATTAGCAAATTTCTCACAATCGAATTTCTTCATTTCCTGCAGTTGACAGTTATTTAACGTTATTCGTATTTTTGTTGATGGGAATGAGCAAAGACGTATGAAACGTTTAACTTCGGACAAATTCTTCTTCAAGACTTGGTGGACATTCGACTCTGGATTTCCAAATCAGTTTCTAATTTGCCTTGTTCGACGTGTTCCCATGTTTGGTCTACTGAACAACTGACTTCCATGTTAATGATGTGATAAATGACGCCAGTTAGGCAGAATACTGACCTTTCTGTGAAGGCCTGGCCCTTATTCTCGAAACGTTCGTAGCCCTAAGAATTCTTAACTTTGATCGTAGCCAATGTGTTAAGAATGGGCTTAAGAATAGACTCATGACTATTTGTTAGTGATTCCTAAACGACATATCCATGATAAAGAGGAATCGTATTCCGCGTTTAGGTGATTTTGTATTGGCTTTTCCAGTTTTCGTTTACAGATCCAATGTCAGTTCAGTTAATTCCAGTGTAGGATAACTTTCGAAACCAAAAGAAGTGTGTGCTTTTTTATGTCGAGTTTGTACAGAATAAGAGAATTCATAATTATACATTTTTATTTTTATGTTCGTTTGGAACTGCAGTTCATGTTGATTGGAGATTATCATTTCAGAAAGATGATCTCGCCGACCCAGTCTGGGCGATGCAGCATGTCCCACGTCTGATAGTAATTTACTTTTTTTAAAATAAACGTTTACGTTTACAAACAGAGAGACTCATGCGTTTTGCTGACAAATGTTTCGACATTACCCGAGTTACTAGTTATGATGTTAATGCTGTGTTTAACAACTTATGTCGGATAACACCGTCAAATTGATGTGTCGAACTGACTATTGTCTCGAGGTAAAAGACCTGCGTATTTCTTATTTAGTCATCATTTCCTGGTTGTGTCAAACCTCGAAATACTCGAAGTATTGCCGTTAGTCGGACAACAATGTATGGTTGTAGTATAGTAAGAAGACGTATTCAGTCAAAAATGTTTCTATCATTTCCTGGTTGTGTCAAACCTCGAAATACTCGAAGTATTGCCGTTAGTCGGACAACAATGTATGGTTGTAGTATAGTAAGAAGACGTATTCAGTCAATAATGTTTCTATCATTTCCTGGTTGTGTCAAACCTCGGATTACTCGAAGTATTGACGTTAGTATGTATGGCAACAATGTATGGTTGTAGTATAGTAAGAAGACGTATTCAGACAATACATTTTCTATATACAACCCACATTGCGGCCGTTAGCAGTGGAGACACATCACTCCACACATGTGATGTAGCGTACCTTTCACCGGTGTAAATAAGACTGCATATAACTAGATGTACACCATACATTAGGTCACTGGGCGGTGGGGTAGCCTAGTAGTTAAAGCGTTCGCTCGTCACGCCGAAGACCCGGGTTCGATTCCCCACATGGGTACAATGTGTGAATCCCATTTCTGGTGTCCCCCGCCGTGATATTGCTGGAATATTGCTAAAAGCGGCGTAAAACTAAACTCACTCACTCACACGTTAAGTCGCTGACGATTATACAAAGATAGCCACATAACCATTACTGAAAACAACAAAAATACTTTGATTAAAATGTTGATGGAGGTAGTAAACAGAAAATATTTATATTGAAAGTGGTTTATGTGATGCACATCGGCTGTTAAAATACTTTGGAAAGTGCATGTTTTGCTGTTCCGATTAAGTCGATACTGGTGCATGAGCATACAACCACCGAACGATAAACTGATTTGGTCAGAGTACAGACTGTCGGGGATGTAGGAACATCGGTAACATACATGTACAAAATATAAAACACTTGTATCGGCATACACCGATTGATTGTGTGAACTAGCAACATATGTTACAAATTGTATATCACATCGATCTGCAAACAACCATCCACAGTGTACTAGAATGAGTTTGTGAGTGAGTTTAACTTTACTCCGCACTTAGCAATATTCCAACATTATGGCGAGTCTGGGCCAGACAATCCAGTGATCAACAGCATGAGCATCGATCTACGCATTTTCGATACGATGACATGTGTCAACAAAGTCAGCGAGCCTCACCACCCGATCCCGTTAGTCGCTACTTACGGCAAGCATTGGTTACTGAAGATCAATTCTAACCCGGATGTTTATGGGTCGAAAAAGAGAATTAAAGAAGACATTGAAATTGGCATGGACAAACAGGTTTTTGGATGGCCGTGATTCTCGGTAAAGGTAAGCTGAGTTGCTCCACATTAGTGGAGCCTCACAGCGGCGAAGCTGATTGGATACTAGTGGAGCCTCACAGCGGCGAAGCTGATTGGACACTAGTGGAGCCTCACAGCGGCGAAGCTGATTGGATACTAGTGGAGCCTCACAGCGGCGAAGCTGATTGGATACTAGTGGAGCCTCACAGCGGCGAAGCTGATTGGACACTAGTGGAGCCTCACAGCGGCGAAGCTGATTGGATACTAGTGGAGCCTCACAGCGGCGAAGCTGATTGGACACTAGTGGAGCCTCACAGCGGCGAAGCTGATTGGATACTAGTGGGGCCTCACAACGGCGAAGCTGATTGGATACTAGTGGAGCCTCACAGCGGCGAAGCTGATTGGATACTAGTGGAGCCTCACAGCGGCGAAGCTGATTGGATACTAGTGGAGCCTCACAGCGGCGAAGCTGATTGGATACTAGTGGAGCCTCACAGCGGCGAAGCTGATTGGACACTAGTGGAGCCTCACAGCGGCGAAGCTGATTGGATACTAGTGGAGCCTCACAGCGGCACAGCGGCGAAGCTGATTGGACACTAGTGGAGCCTCACAGCGGCGAAGCTGATTGATACTAGTAGTGGGACGGCGAACTGAGTGGAGCCTCACAGCGGCGAAGCTGATTGGACACTAGTGGAGCCTCACAGCGGCGAAGCTGATTGGATACTAGTGGAGCCTCACAGCGGCGAAGCTGATTGGATACTAGTGGAGCCTCACAGCGGCGAAGCTGATTGGACACTAGTGGAGCCTCACAGCGGCGAAGCTGATTGGATACTAGTGGAGCCTCACAGCGGCGAAGCTGATTGGATACTAGTGGAGCCTTAGCCAATCTAGTACATTTGTGTTATAATGGTTCCTAAACTCTTTAGCGCAAGGGGGCGGTGAGGTAGCCTAATGGTTAATACGTCGGCTCCTCACACTGACGACCCGGGTTCGAATCCCAACATGGGCACAATGTGTGAAAGCCCATTTATGGTGTCCCCCGCCGTGATATTGCTGGTATATTGCTAAAAGCGGCGTAAAACCCAACTCACTCGCACACTTTTGCGCAACGCTATTAACATTTTGAATATAGAAGTCTTCGTGTGACATGACTTCATCAAATTAATGTGAATTGAATAAAGAAATTATCTGAAATTTTCAGCTGGCCAGTCGGGATAGCTTTAACAATGTATCACTGGTCCGATTCAAAATCAGCTAGCCTTTGGCTTGAAGGCCAGTAGGTATTTCGATTGCTGCTGTCACTACGTCTCAACGAAAGGTATAACGAGAAATGTTGGATGTGTATATCTTTAAACCTGTTTAGATACATTTTTCAACTTCTGAGCAATCGTTGTATCTCGTGTACAAAAAGGTAAGATTCATACATGTGACGATGGAACAGTTTGTCGCCATGGTGATGTAGGGGTTGCATGGGACTGTCAGCATCATAGGTATGCTCGGGGTCTCAGAAGTGACACGTGAGAGATGCACCACTCCACGGCCCCGTTCCACAAAGCGGACTTAGTGTTAAGAATATCATACATTGTATGTCTGTGTTAGAGTATGAGTGTACCGATTGCGTGGTTCTCTCCCAGCACACACGCAACACGCTGCCAACTACCTGAATATAGATCGGCTATATTATAAGTTCCCGGGGCATTTTAGCTTTTGTGAAATACACCATCTGTTAGTTTCCGATAACTGTTGATCTCTTAGTGCATGCAGTCACTTATTCATGTTTGTCTCGAACAGATTTTCCTGTTTCATTGCGCGACAGATTAAACAGCTCCAATGGAAGTTACAGACATTTGTAACAGTAAGTAAACATTGTATTCAAAATTGTTTTAGTGAGGGTATGATGGCCTTTTCTCACTTTGTCACAAATATCTTTTTGCTCAATCCACACTCCGTTTTAATAGGATTCTCTGAGTTTTCTGACGAGGGAGAAATCTGAATGGTTGTTTGGAGATTTCATTTGAATAGGATACGATTTCGGCTATATCTGACACTTTTCCAGTTTCATTTCATAAACAAACGTATTAATAAACAAAATATAAAATATAACAAAAAATATAATGACTCTCGACTTTCTGATCACATTAGTGGGTAAGGGGAAATACATCAACTGACGGTAACAAGCGACATTATTCCATGTGTTTGCTCGGTCGCACAGTGGATGTGGAATTGAACGATTAAGTGATGAATATGAAGCGAACTGCCTCACTCTCTCACACACATCAAAGCTAGTTATTGCTAAAGGATATTGTGGATAACCATATACTGACTTGGTGATAAAAAGAGACATATTGGACCGAAAGTTATCCCTATAAAGAGAAATAGTTTTAAAGCATAGGCGTATGGCTCATTGTTGTCTTCGCGGAATCAAAGTGCGCCTTCTGTGGACTACAATTTCGAGTGTTTGACTCAATTGGTCTTCAGTAACCCATGCTCGTCGTAAAAGGCGACTAATGGGATCGGGTGGTCAGGCTCGCTGACTTGCTTGACACATGTCATCGTATCCCAAATGCGTAGATCGATGCTTATGATGTTGATCACTGGGGTGTCTGATCCAGACTCGATTATAACAGACCGCCGCCATATAGCTGGAATATTGCCGGGTGAGGCGTTAAAAAATAAACAATAAAAACTGTTTGACTCATATCGGCGGAATATCATATGGAAGGATGTACAAGAAAGAGCTACTGCCAAACTGAAATGTGTTTGTTGTCGAATGATGCTAATAAGCCTCAAGAGCGCGAAGCTACTGATGAACATCACCTTGTTCCGGAAATGAATAGCGGACATATATTAAAATAGTAAATTATAGAAGATGTTAGCTTTCATTTATTATTTGACATAAGTATATCATAAATTCGATATATATATTTGTTTTAACCATTTCTACAGTTGCACCACAGTGTTTCTGATGTGAATTGCTTGGAAAAGGAGGAAAATGAGGGGCGAGTCTATTGAACTCAGTAACTTACGACCTGTAGGAAGTCGCAGCTCGAGAAGACGATACAGTGCCTGTAATATACCTCATGTGCAGATCGCGCTGCAGCCGTGTAATGATGCAGCAGCCTCAACGATGTGTTCGTCAGACGTTAACTTATTTTCGTGTCAGCCCGATCTGTCGACAAATGAAAAATAGGATGTTGCTAACCGTCGACAGAATAAAAAAACTCGGAGCGTCGACATCGCACGCGTGGTCAACATACCGTGACGGTGTTAATTAATTAAAGAGATTGGTGTTTGCTTAGTGATTTGCAAGTGGCTATGGTGGCTACCGCTATGCTCGTATCATGAGTAAATGAATTAAGTTAAAGGTCACATGCAAGCAAAAAATCGAACATAATTAAAACACAATTATCACTTATTCATGACATATAATATACATTGCTGGTTATGAAAAAACATATAAAGAAAATTATAAGCGTACAATCGCAAATCAAAAGTGCAATATTGTGTACTTGGGTTTACTTCCCAAGAAACGAAGCAGCCGGGATACCGAACCCAGTCAGAGCGGGTGGGTGTGCACTCAAGTGTAACGGCTGGTTCATTTGCAGATGCCCTCACGGCTCATTGTGTGTGTATATATAGAGATGTTGGGTTTTGTAAATACATGCTCATTTTTTGTGTATAACATTTTACAATCAACAGACATCATAACATGTCATGTGTTCAAGTATCACACCTGCCTGTCTGTGTAATTACATAATGTGACAGAGACCGAACTCGGGCCATAAATCAATGCATTTTGTTTATGGTGTATAGCCTGATTGGTGTTAAGTTCAAATTGCATGTGGTGAGTGATAGCAGCTGTGTATTGAATATTGTCATTAGCACACAGGCAGGCAGACACACAGGTGTCAATAAGACAAGACATTGAGTTTTGTCTGTGACAACGACATATCTATATCACAGTTCGAAATTCTGTCAACGCTAAATAATGACATTGCTTTCAAGTATCGAACTGAGAAAGTGACTCGGTAAGAAGAACGTGTGGTGAAATAAACAAATGAAATTATATAAACAGTTAATTTACTGTCATAACATATAAAAAAGCTCGCGCCTGTGAGATATCAACAAAACATTAGAAAAATAGCTCACACCAAAGCCTTCACCGAGTATTCACTTGACAACCCGCTGCGCGAACCTATTTCACTGCGCATGTGCTATGAGCGCAGCCCAGCTGTTGAAACCACTTTTCCCCCAAGCGCTGGGGGAAAATTAGTGAATCTTTTGGACTCCGATTTCGCGCGGTTTTTTTCATGGCGTTATTTTTCAACTTTATAAGCTGAATTTGCATTTTTGATGATTTGTTTCGGTAAGTCCATACCGAAAGGTATCAGAATCTGCAAAGTTGTGTTTTACGTTGCATGTGACCTTTAATTAAAGAGAATGTCTTTTTAACAATTTGAGAATTAAGGTTGCAAACAGACTATTATTTTACATTATGCGAGTGGAAAGATTACCATTTTGGAATTTAACATGCAACAACATCCAGAAAGAAACAGAGAGCTTACAAATTATTTTGTGATATTGGAGTAGAAGGATTATCGAAATGTTGTTGTAAACATTTAGCATTTGGGTATATATTATAGATCATGAATGTTTTGTTACCACTGTCAAAATGGCAAATGCTATGGTGCGGGTTACACTGATTGACAACATTCATGGAGGTCAGAATCTTTAACACAATGGATTCAAGTACAGAGTCAACAGACGCAGAGCTCAGAAACATACTGGAGATGTACAGATGCAACCTGTCCATCGTATCTGGTTACAGAAAACAACCTGCTGAATATGGTCGGTTAAGATCACAATCATCCTGGTATTCCGTTTCTTACTGAAGTTGATGCCTTCAAGTCAAAGCTCCATCATCGTGCAAAGACTGACAACACTATGCCTATCTCCCAGATCTACCATGAAGAAGTCAGCAACTTGAGAAAGAATCCAGCAGCTGCTCCGGACGCCCTTCTCCAACACATTCCTGTCTTTGACTCCATGAGAACCAGCATGTATCGACAAAGACATAAGACCGTCCCTAAGCTTCCACAGACCCTTGCAGACATCAATCTAGAGAATGAGTGGACAACGACTGAAGCTGGTGATGACTTCCTTCACCGACTAGATGATGGCAACATTTTGCTCTTCTTCACCAGAATATAGAGCTTCTCTCTGCAGCAGATGTGATCTTTGCAGATGGTACATTCTCGTCTTCACCTCGACTGTTTGACCAAATCTACTCGATCCATGCTGAATACCAAGGACACATGCTACCCCTGATATATGGACTCTTGCCAAACAGAACAGAAGCGACCTACACAAGTGTGTTTGACTATCTGAAACAGACTGCAGCGACTCAAGGACTTCAGCTTTCACCTGATGTGTTTCGGTAGGACTTTGAACGTGCATCTCATAAACGCTGCCAGTATTGTATTTCCAAATACTCAGCTTCGTGGCTGCTTCTTTCATTACACCCAGTGCATCTGGCGTCGAACACAGAAAGTAGGCCTTGCTTCAGAGCACAAGTCAGACAACAATGTGAAAACGACGAGTGCGTCGAGCTGCAGCTCTACCTTTAGTGCCACTGGATAAAGTTGAAGATGTCTGGCTTGATGCCATTGCAGACGCCCCACTAGGTGAAAAGGCGACACAGCTGATGGATTACGTTACTACCACCTGGGTAGTAGGTCCATCACAAGAAAAAAATTTGGTGATCTCCAAAAATGTCCAATTTGGAACCAACTAGGAACCAATTCTATATATTAGTTTAACTTCACTCATCTGCATTCTTCTTGTTCTATGTGTCAAAAATTGATATTGACTGTTCTATTTACCGCTAGTATGGCCAGTTACAGTTATTTTGAAGGGTTAAGTCTAGATGCTTGTGATTATCTATGTCTTGAATTATCACACCGCTCATTGTAAGGTCAGGTTGGATGCTTCTGTTAAGTTTTCTACTAAACTGTAAAATAGGTTTGTCGCTGTGGTGACAATTATATACGTTTGAAAATGTTAAAACCTGCAATGAGAACACGACGCCACGCCAATAGCAACTCCATGATAGGTATTCTTGTCGATGCATAGAGAAGGGTTCCCATATTCATTCTTGTATCATTATCGAGATAAAGGGTAGGTTAGACATTTGGGTCAAGGTAAAAATCGTTTGATGTTTGATGTTTTGACAACGGTGTTGTTTTAAGGGATTCTACAAGATGAAAAAACGTGTTCACTCAAGGAAAGAAATAAGACATGTATACCAGACTACCAGTATGAGATTGAATCCATGTTAGTGAGTTCACAGTCACTTTGATTTATAAATTAGTTCACTCAATTCATAAGTTGTGAGTTATTCATTTTCTTGCAGAAACTTGCTATAAGAATTTTGGAAATGACAGTTTTTTCACCATTATTTCCACAAATTCAGTTATGGTAAATGCACAGTTAGACTAGAAGTTTCTTCCTACTTTTCGTGGTTGAAGATATCTATGTGTAAATGGTTACCGGTATATGTTCATTCTGAACAAGAGAGAAGGAGAGAATGGATCGCATGGAGATGCAGTCAGAAAGACTGCAGAGCAACAGTCTCAACATTGAACGACATAATGTCTAAAATTCCTGGCCCGCGTTTCACAAAAGCCTCCTAAATTTAGGAGGTCGTAGACCCTACGACCTTGTTTACGACCCTTTTCCGACCTCCTTTACGACCGTTTCACAAAGACGTCATATCCATGTCGTACGACGCGGTCCTAAATCCATGTCGTACATTGTATAAGAGATACTTTGTTGCATAGCAACGCATAAAGCGAG